GTCCCGCTCCCACAAGCCCAGGTGGTGCTAGAGAGTGAAAGGGAAATTTTAATTTCTACTTCTCCCCTTGATTCAGAGTCCAGGTAGCTATTTTGACTGCTTCACTGGGATATTCTTTAATTCTTTCCTTTTCTCATTACAGCTCGAAAATTAAAATCTCCCTGCCTTGGGCAATTGAAGGCTGAGTGAGAGACGGCTACCACCACCACACATTTCTTATTTAAGTCAATTTGGAAACACCGAATGCTTTCTCTCGGGGCAGGTGACCGTGGGAAGAGGGCAGGGCAGACGTTAGCCTCCCTCCTTCACACACCGTGGGCATTAATCCTTCCATTATTCCCGCAGCCTGCGCTGACCTGGCCTAATCACAAACTTAATAACAGCCTGTTTCCTACCAAAAAAAAAAAAAAAAACCAGCCTGTGCTGGTCAAGCCCTTCCCCAGTCAGTATTTCCACGGATCCTCACAGCAGCTCTGCAAGGGAGGAGACGCGATGCCCTCCTCCTTTGATTAATGAGGGGATTGAGCACCCAGCGCTTTTCTCAGATGGGAGATGGAAGCCCCTGAGGTTCCTGGGGCTGGAGGCATGGTGGGTGGGGTGGCCAACGTTGTGTCACCCCCTTCAGATCCCCTTGCTTGTAAGAAGGGAACTAGGGAAGGACCGCCTTTCTTTCTCGGGGATGCTGAATGGGAACCCAGGAGCAGCGTGAGCTTGGGCAGCGCCTGTCCAGTCCGAGAGCCTTCAGCTTCCTCTTGTTTTAAAGAGGGGTTGAGGATGGGGCTGGGTCTCAGCAGTAGAGTGCTTCCTAGCATAGGAAAGGCCATGGGCCCATGGCCAGCACCAAAAACACATACACACTCACACACACTCACCCACTCACACTCTCACAGTTATGCTACATTATGTGTAAGGCCACTTTGTTTCCCACGTGCACAGACTCCCGGGGAAAGGAGGCTGGCTGGGTTTTGCAGCTTTATCCATGTTTGTTTCCCGCTTGCTCTCCTCGGGAGGCCGCTGCTCGTCCCTGTGCCACGCATCCAGCTGCCCTTGCCCTGCTTTCCTTTTCTCTACCCAGCTCTCTCCAGCTTGTTCAGACTCGCAGAGGGAGACCTGGTCCACAGGATGTCTCCTGGTGGAGCTTCCCTGCAGAACATCCCCTCAGAAGGATCTGAAGTGACAGTCTGTGGAAGGTTGGCGCCCCCTGTTTTTACTGCAACTGCAGTTCTTGCTGAGCTTATGGAGAGGTGTCTGGGGGCGTTCCAAGGCCTGGAACAATTTCTTCTCATTGAGAAGCACAAGACCTGGAAATGAAGGCTGTGTCTCTACTTCCAGAACTCAAAGTTGAAGCAAGCTGTGTTGTGCACACCTGTAAATCCTGTGCTCTGGGAGACTGAGGTGGGAGAATCACAAATTTGAGTTTAGCCGGGACAATTTAGCAAGATCTTGTCTCAAAAATAAAAAAAATAAAAAAGGTGAAAAGGGCCAGGCTAGTAGCGTGCTCCTTAGGAGGACTGCCATGAGTTTGAGGCCAGCCTGAGCTACATAGTGAGTTCAAGACCAGCCTAGACTACACAGTGAGACCTTGTCTCAAAAAACTAAAAAATAAATAAATAAAAAGGAAATGAAGAGTTAGCTCAATGCAAAAGTCCTGGGTTAAATTCCCAGTATGGAGAGGAAAAGAAGAATTAAAGGTTATGACTGACTGTGGACAAACAACAGTACCAGCCCCCAGGTCTGGTGGAAAAGGAGTTCTTGCTCCACCTTTGTTTCCAGCCCCAGCTCCCTGGAGGACCTGGTAGTTTTCCATGTTCTCCCTTGTGGGGCTCCCGGGCCTGGCCAGGTGATTCCCTATGGGAACCAGGACCCAAGACACGAAGTGAGACTACACACCCCTGCAAGCTTGTGCTGCTTTTGGTGTGAAATGACAGCCGCCTCCACTCCCTGTCCTTTCAGAGAGCGGAAGCCAAGGCCCAGACTGCTCTTTTCATCACCAGCTCAACCGCAGGGGCCACGGAAGGAACTGGAACTCTAAGCAGACCCAGCAGAAGAGACACGGGGCTCCCTTACGGGGAGGCAGAGCTGAAGGAAGGAGAAGCAAATGAGTACTTCCTGGAGATTAAGGCTTCGAGCTGCAACTCAAAACCTAAAGGAAAGCGTTGCCGAGGCAGAGAAAAGAAAAATAAGCAAAGTGAAAAACTGGATTTGGAAATAGACCAGGATTGAAATTTCAATTGTGTTTCACTGTAGAATCTTGGGCAACCTCTGAAATCCTCAGTTTCCTTCTCCACCTTCCACAGTGGTGATTATCCCACAGTGCTATTGCAGGATTAGTGAAATAATGTACATAAGATCCTTAGGTCCCTGGCAGATAGTAGGTGCTCAATAAATGGTTGCTATTTTTATCACTGTTGGTGTCACTGTTGCTGCTGCTGATGAAGGAGAATCATGCAGTGGAAGCTGGAGACCAGACTTTCCTGTTTTTGAGACTCAGCCACAGTGAGGAGAGGAGGAAACCCCCAGGCAAGGCCTCCATGAGAAACTGTTGTGGTCCAGTGAGAGCGAGGCCTTCTCATTTGGGTGCCATCTTGTTGACTCAGATCCAGAACAAAGGCTTTGATTTCCTTGGGGCAGCTCACTTTATGCTGGGAACAAACAGCATCTTGGGAAATTAGAGTCACAGAGGCTGGGCAGAGTTCCTTTCACTGTCAGATAAAGGGCTCCCTGTTCTGGTTCCTGTCAGTGGCAAGGGATGACGCTCAGGCTGCCACTGAGTACAAGCACCAGGCCTGTGGGTACAGTGGTTGGACAGGTTCCAAGGAAAAACCTGAGGTGACAAGGGAGAAAACAGAGCTGCCCCAGTGGGTAGCGCCTTCTCCTTTGTGCCTCTCACCCCCAATCCCTCTGATTCTCAGTGCTGACAAGGAGAACAGGACCAGGCTGAGGCCCTGTGGGGTAGGCAAACGGAAGTACAGCACTGAGGCTCCTGCTGGGCATGGTGGCACACGTCTGCAATCCCAGCACTTGGGAAGCTGAGGCAGGAGGATCACTATGAGTTTGAGGCCAGCCTGAACTACATAGTGAGACCCTGTCTCAAAAAAATAAAAACAAAAAGACACTGAGGCTCCTTTCCCAGGGAGCTGGTTTAAGGTATAGGTCTCCTCCTACATCACTAGTTCTGGAGGACCCACATAGACTGGGGAGTCAGGAAAATGGGGTAGCAATCCTAAGGTGCTGAGAAAAGAGAATCCACAGCTTGCAAGTTCACCTCACCCGAGCTCTCTCTCCCTCGCGTTTCTTCTCTTCTCACTCTTTTTCCTTCCTCTCTTCCCTGCCTTTTCCTCAGGCTGGCTTTGCAAGTTGTCAGCTTCTCTTTCCAGACCCCCGCCAAGAGAGGCTCTTTGTCTTGGTCTCTCTCTTCTCATTTGTGTCTCAGCTTCACCCAGAAGCCAGGCTTCCTGCCTTCTCTGACACAGGTTTAAATAAGAGCCAAGCCCGAGGTCAGGGGCAGCTTAGGCTCCTCAAGGGCAGGGCCAGACCATGTGGGAAAGTTTGGTCCTGGGAGCATAGAGATGGCACAGACACAAGGAATGCGGTATCAGTGGGGCTGTGGTGACACACAGCTCAGGGGAGGAGTCTGGGAAAGTGATGTCATTGTTAGAACTAGTAGTGATACTGGGAGCGGTACCCTGTGCCTATGCTGAGACCTTTCTTGCCTTGCTAGCTTCTTTTTGCCTCCTGGTTATAGAGAAAGGCGGAGGAAGCACATTTCACCTTTGGGGACATCTAGAACCACAACGTGATTTTCTTAGACTAAGGCCTTCCTTCCTACATGCTGGCCTCCACCTCCCCTGGCTGTCTTGTGGGCATACTAGTGAGCACGTGGGTACTCACTGTCTCACACATGTATGCACACTTCTGTGTGTGCAGCTCACGTGCATGCACACTCACACGCACACACTCACCCACTCCCACCTGCCATCTGTTTCTCTCTGTTGGGGAAAATCATATAAATGGGGCCTCAGGGCAGTGCTAAGGGATTCAGGGGGATTCGCCCTGGCAGGGATCTGAGGAAGAGCCCCTGTGTACCCTCATCTAGTGGCACCTTGATGCCATGTGCCTCCTGATTTCAGGAGCCTCTCCCTTGAACCCAAAGAGGCCTGGCATTTGGGTGTCCTTGAAAATGCACTTTCCAAGCCAGGCATGGTGGCACACACCTGTAATACCAGCACTTGGGATTACAGAGGTTCTGTCTAAATGAATAAATGAATAAATAAATAGGTATTACCATTTTATAATTAGAAAAAAACTGGGCAGGATGAGCCTGGGAGTGAGGGATTTGTGGAGGAGGAAAATTTGAGTTGGACTGGAGACGTTACAAACAAAACTCTAAGACAAATGTCACCATCATCCCCTCAAATCTATCTTACATTTCCTGTAATTGGGAAGAGAAAAGGTTGTATCTTACTGGGTAACTAAGTCCAAGGCATCCAGCTTAAGCTGGGGCAACGGAGTGGTTCCCAAATTGAGTGTGAATATTAATGCTATGTGACTCACACGCACACTTTTTGAAAGCAAAAATAAATAGCTGGTGAGTCTTGAACATCAACAATTAGCCTGAGGAGAAGCCAGGAGAGGAGCTGCAGCTAGTAACAAGGCAACTGCCAGATTAGGTGAGGACGTAGCCCGCTGCAGGCCTTTGGAGGTCCTCGCCCATCTGTGGTGGGTGGAAATGGTTTGTTCAGCCGTGAGCAGCTAACTGAGAAGTCCTTTGCAAATCCCGCCTGGCACAGTGACAGGAGTGGATTTTCCACAAAGCTAATGGAGCTTAGGCTTGGCTTCACACACTCCTCACCTGCACAGGCCCCTTCTAGAGACTGCACTTAATTGCCTGTTCATAATGTTGTGTTCTTTTCCTAAAAAAGAGGGTTCCCCAAATTGCATAAGCTTTGGACCTCACAAAATTTGGTCAACGTCTGTAATGAAGTGAGGAGATAATCATGTAAGATGTCAATAAGCAATCCATTCTTAGTTTAATTTAGCAGCCTCCTTTGAAATCATGTCTCTTTCTATCAGAGATGTATCTGTCTGCATAGTCTTTCACCTTTACTCTAGGTAGAAGGGACCGAAGGACTTCAAAGGTGGTTCTCCAGGACTCCACAGTTTTCTGCCTTGAAGCTGGTATAGGAGGAAGATGAAGGTAGCTGCTGCATAGCTGAAGGAATATAGCTCTCTTGCCCAGACCCTGAGAATAAAGAAAGAGTATCAGATAATAAATAATAGGGCTGGAAGCCGGGCATGGTAACACACACCTGTAATCCCAGCACTCAGGGAGGCTGAGGCAGGAGGGTCATTGCAAGTTTGAGACCAACCTGGGCTACAAAGTGAGCTCAAGGCCAGTCTGAACTATATAGTGAGACCCTGTATCAAAAAAAGACAAAACAGGGGCCAGGGATATAGCTCAGTGGCACAGCACCTGCCTTGCAAGCATGAGGTCATGAATTCGATTCCCAGTACCACCCCCTCAAAAAAAGACAAAATAGGGGGCTGGGGATTTAGCTCAGCGGCAAAGCGCCTGCCTGGCAAGCGCAAGGTCGTGAGTTCGGTTCCCGGTACCGGAGAAAAACCAAAAAACCAAAAAAAAAAAAAAGACAAAATAATAAATAAATAAATAGGGCTGATGTGTAGCTCAGTGGTAAAGCACTCATCTAGCATGCTACACTTACATTCGCAAAGCATTTGGGAATTTCCAAAGGGAATATGTTATTTTATTTTCCAAAAAAGCCCTGAGGTAGTTTTATGCAGACAAGTATTATGGAGATTTGTTACAATAAGGAAACTGAAGCTCAGAGAGGTTAAATTAAAGTAATAATTACAACAACAACAAAAAAAAGGCCAGGTGTGGTGGCGTATGCCTGTAATCCCAGCACTTGGGAGGCTGAGGCAGGAGGATCGGTGCTACTTCGAGGCTAGCCTGGGCTACAAAGTGAGCTCAAGGCCAGCCTGAGCTGCATAGCAAGACCCTGTCTCAAAAAAGACAAAATAATAATAATAATAATAATAATAATAATAATAATTGCTCAGAAGTACAAGGCTATTCTATCAGCAGAGTCAGTTACCCATAGTCACTCATTCAACCTGCTCAACAATGCTGGGAGGCTGAGTGCAGTAGGCCATACCTACAATCCCAGCACTAGGGAGGCTGAGGCAGGAGATCACTGTGAGTTCGAGACCAGCCTGGGCTACAAAGTGAGCTCAAGGCCAACCTGAACTGCAGAGCGAGACCTTGTCTCAAAAAGACCAAAGACAAAACCTGGCCACGGAGAAGGCTCATCAGGAAAGCTGGCTACCAGTTTCCTCCTGGGCTGCTAGCTCGGAGCAGGAGATGAGTCAGCAGTCACCAACCTGCAAAGAGCCAAGGGGGACTTCAGAGAGAAGATGGAACCTCCGGGGGCTTTGAATCAAAGTTTGACCACCTTTCTCCACTCCTGCAACTCCCAGACCAATGATAAAGATTCTGGTCAGAGATGTGTTTAAGGACATTATCATGGCAACAATTTAAAGGGTCATTTGATGAGGGGGGCCAGGGATGTAGCTCAGTGGTGCAGCACCTGCCTGGCAAGCACGAGGTCCTGAGTTCAATTCCCGGTACACCCCCCCAAAAAAAGATTTGATTAGGGGTAAAGATGAGCTGGAGGGAAACCAGTTAGGAGATAGTGACAAAAATTCAGGTACAAAGTGATGGAGTGGGCCAGGGAGATAGTGCCATGGTACCAAGCACCACAGTGGGGAAAAGAAAATAAGGACAAGAAAAGTGATGCAGACCCTAATGACCCAAGGCAGTGGCTGTGGAGAAAGAGCTGCTGTGAGGGTGACTGAACAGAGGACAGGGACATCTTCTGCCAATGACACAACCTCAGCAGACCCTGGTGGGGGGAGGAGGTATCGAGTGGGAAATGTGCTCGTGGGAAGGTAAACAACGAGCCCGGTAGGATGATTAGCCCCTGGAAGCTGCCAGAATTGATAACGTCCCCTCTTCCTGCTCTCTGGGTCCCCAGTCAGGCAGGCGTTCAAGCTAGTTCCAGCCAGGCTGTGTGTGTGTGTGTGTGTGTGAGCGCGCATGTGTGTGTGTCCAGAAGTGTCAGCCCTGGGCTCTGGGGCCCCATCACAGGGAGGTGAGCTATGGGGGCATCAGGGAAGTCTGATTTAGAGTCTCATTCCCGCCGCCCTTCGCCGCAATGCAAGGACAGTTCAATGTAATATATAATTACCAGCGCCCCACAAGGCTGCACTGTACACAGCTCCCTCCCGCCTGCCTGCAGACTATAAATCAGTTTTCAATCCTGAGTGCTACCTGTAAATGTTCAAGCTCAAGATCCTCGCCTCATATTCCTGTGTCCCTGGAGGGTGGTTAGGGCTCTGCACGGCCCCCCTTCCTCCAGTCCTGATTCTGAATTGCTCCTGTCCTCTGGCTGAGAGAGGGGATTAGGAAGCTGGAATTGGCTCTAGGGTCCCTGGGGCCCTGCTCTGGGCAGCAGGGCCGATGCCGCCAGGTCTGTGAGGCTCGGTCAGGCCTGAACCGCCCAGCACGCAGACTGTGGACAATGTCCCAGCTCAGCTGGGCAAGAAGGCACTGACACTGACCCCTGCCTGGACTGGCAGCCTCTTCCCAGCCCTGCTGGATGTTCTAGGAGGCAGGTGGGCCTCTTCCCTGGAGTGTTCCAAAAGAAGTGGTGGCAAGGAGGCACCAGCCATGGCTTTCCCCTGAGCTGGCGGGGCAATCCCTCTGGGTTCCTTGAGTGACGAAAGGATGGCAGGTACTTTGAGGACGTTGATCCTCCTTTGGGGAAAAAGAAAAGTGCAGGGACAAGGCCAAGTTGGCCTTTAGCAACTTAGCAAGATACTTTCTCAAATGACTGAATAAATAAAGGCTGGGTGTGTAGCTCAGTGTGAATGCCCTAGGTTCAATCCCCATTACTTAAAAAAAAGTCTATAATCTTGTCTGATTTCCTCTTTTTTATTTTTTTAGTGGATTCCTACCCCAGACTGGAATTTCAGGGAGGGCAGGTGCCACATTGTCACTGCATGTGTGCGGCTGGCCACCGAGAGGAAGTCTTAGGGACTGAGGTTGGCTCTGTCTACTCCTAGCACAAGCTCGCCCTTCCTCAGGGCCGCAGGCTTGCTCTTCCTGGGGCACCTGGTCCGCCTCCTCTCCGGAGAAAACTCCCCCGGGGCCCTCTCCTACTGTACCTGGGGCTGCCTGCTGGTGACTGAGGGGCAGTGGCCAGCGTTTACCACTCCCTCCCACTCCCCGCCAGGCCCCCTGGGTTTCTAGAAAGCTTGGCCAGGCCCAAAACAGATACCTCATGTGGGCGAGGGACACAAGTTGGGTACAGTGAAGGGCGCTGAGGAGCAAGCTCCTCTATGTATTGTAATATCCATGAAATAAATGTAGATGAACTGAAAGCACCTTCTGAATAAGCAGCTTTTATTGAAGGAGCTGCTTTAATCCCTAAATGGCTTTGCTGACAGCAAGCAGCTTCCTGGTGGGAGGAGAGGGAAGGATGGGAAATGAGACGCATTGGTTAGGAACCAACTTGGCCTTGTCCCTGCACTTTTAAGATTCAGGACATGCTTCTCCAGGGCAGTGGAACTCAGACCTCCCTCACCTCCGTGTCCATATTCCACTCCCCACCCCATCCCCTCTTGCAGTGGCGGCATGTGTGGCTGGGTTTGTGCCCATTGACGCACGCCCTGCGAACAAGCCCATCATGCTGACTATGCCCATGGTCTGGGTGTCCAGGCCGCCCGCTGTACATGGGGCACTGGCATCAGCTGGAGAGTTAATCCCTTCACAAGGGCAGGATGACTTTTATCAAAATGATAATGGACTGATGACACAGAGGCCCCTAGGGTCTAGAGAAAAGCCAGAGGAGGGAACAGAGACCAGGCTGGCAGGACTTGGGGGCTCAAAGGCCATTCCAGCTCTGTTCAGCTTTTAGAGGGCCGAGGGCATGACACCAGAGCAGGCCCCAGGGATGTTGAGAACACATTATCCATATGCTGAGGCTGTCCTGCTGCCTCCTCCTGAGCCTCTGTTCCCCGCTTCGCTGGCCCTCTTTCCCTCCCAAATACTCCCCTTGACTACAGAATCCTGAACCGTGAGGGCCCAGCCTCCCCCACCCTGGCCCTGAGATGGAGCGGGGCCTGCTCCTCCTCATGCAGGATAACCTACAGTTCCGAGCAGGTGGGGCACAGAGGTGGCTGGAGCAGGCCCAGGAGCACAGATTAGAAAGTTGCCCCTTGGGCATGGAACCTGTCAAGGCTAATTTGCTTCAATTTTACAATTTTGTTTCCTTTCTTTCTTTGTGTGTGTGCGATGCTAAGGCTTGAACACAAGAGCTCTTGCATGGTAAGCGCCCACCACTGAGCTGCGCCTGCCACCGAGTTACACCTACCACTGAGTTACACCCCCAGCTAGGCTCAGTGTTCTTTCATAATTGATATGGATGAAGTTTCACTGGGGAAAGAAGAGAGTTTGGGAGCTCTTGGAAAGCCAGGCATGGTGGTACATGCCTATAATCCCAGCACTCATGAGGCTACACCAGGAGGATCCCTGAGTTTGAAGGCAGCACCGGCTACACAGTAAGTTCAAAGCCAGTGAAACCCTGTCTCAAAAAAAAACAAAAAGCAAAACAGAAGGAAAAACAAAAAAGAAGCTCTTGGAACATGTACACTAGAGGGGCTTTAGGGATCACAAAGCAGGAACTCCTGTCGTTGGTTGTGGAGGACCACCTGCACAACTCTCCTTGAAAGAGGAGCAGTTGTCTCCACTTCGGCCAAGCCTGGCCCTATTTCCGTGTACTGATGTGTGCAGAGCTGGCTGGGACTTTTCCTTATCCTTCAATTGGCTTTAATGCATATGGGTCCAGCTGAGGTGCTGATGTGTGGTCTTTCAAGCAAAGAGGACAAGGAATGTTTTCCCAGCCCCCTCATAGCTTGCATGTGTGAGCTGAGGCAAGGTGGGATTGAACCTCAAGATAAGAGGCTGTGACTTCCCAGGGCACAAAAGATTATACCTCGGAGCTGAAGCACGGACCCCAAAACATTAGATACTGTCACAGTTGTGGTACACAGATTACTCTTTCTGCATATCCTTCTCTGCATATTGCAGAGGTGATTTCAGGCCTCCAACCTAGCCCAGCTCATGGCACTCACCTACTTCCTGCCATTCTCAGTCACTCATCCTCAAGCCACTCCCTTCTTCACGAATTAATAAAACCTAGGTTTGGCCCCAGCTTGAGGCCTTTGTTCCGGATGGCCATCACAGTAACTGGACTTAGGACCCCTTGGCTCCCCATAACTATAATTATGCCTTAGTGTCTTTAGTCTCACCATGGGTTGCACTGGAAGTGGTAGACTGGAATTAACTCACTAGAATTCAGTAACTTTTCATGGGATTACAAATACAAACCTCCCGGGCCAAGATGAGGACTGGGAAGGGCTCTCTGCAGTTGGTGGAAGATTAGTGATAACATTTTCCCCTAGGTTTCGGAGAGACTTCATGCAGAAGGAAGCCCCCGTACCAGAAATGGAGAGTCCTGGCCCCTTAGCCTAGCCTGACACACAGTAGGTGTTCAATAAACACTGCTGTTGCTGTATTAGCATAATACCTGGTGGAAATATCTGAGGGTCCCTGCAGAGAAGCTCAGCTGCTAGGACCTGAAAGTCAGACGGCACAGGGTGGGGTGCGGTGCAAAGCAGGCATGGTGCCAAGATGCGTGGCTGGAGGACCCCAAGGAGCAGGCACTCTGGCCCTGTGCAGCCAGCTTCTCATTCCCCTCCCCCCACCTCCCAGGGTGGTCCTCCCTCTGGGTCTTGCAAAGAGTCTTCCCTCTGTCCCAGGCTGGCCTAGTGACCTTTCGCTTGAGTCTGCAAATATATTCTTAGCTAGTCTTGGAAATGAAATTGTGCTCAACATTTGTACAGGGCTTTTCTGCCACTGGGCCCTTTACAGACATTAGCTAATCAAAGAGGATGGGGGGAGGGTAAGGGGGAGGGGAGAAAGGCGGGGAGAAAAGGGGAGGGGAGAGGGGTGGAAGCGAGAGGCCTGGCCAATGGAAGGGGACTCCAGGCTTCTGAGCTGGGAAACTCATCTCAGGCCTCCTTCTTTTCCACAAGATTGGATTTGCAGTCAGGTGTAGTGGCACATAACCGTAATGCAAGCTCTCTGGGAGACTGAAGCAGGAAGATCTCAAATTTGAGGCCAGTCTGGGCAACTTAGCAGACCCTGTCTTGAAATAAAATACGTAAAAAGAGCTGTGGAGGGCCAGGGATACAGCTCAGCAACACAGCACGTGCCTGGCAAGCACAAGGTCCTGAGTTTGATTCCCAGAACAAACAAAGAAAAAAACTGTGGATGCAGCTCAGCGCACAGGCCCTAGGTTCAATCCCCAGCACGCGCGCACACACACACACACACACACACACAAGATTGGACTTGCTCTAAAGAGGAAGTGAGTTCTGGGGACTTGGCCACTGAGCCAGAAAGTAGAAGCAGGGAGGATGATAACTCACTGAGAGGTGACGGTCTTCCTGAGGTCTTCCTGTCCCATAACCAGTTATACACAGCAACTGGGCTCAGAGGGAAAGTACAGTGTTGTAGGACTGTCAGCTACCTTCACCCCCTTTGGAGGAGGAGATGAGGACAGTCAGTAACTAGAGCCAGGGAGTGTGTCGGAGCTCCTTCCCAGAGGGCCACAGGGAGCAGCACACTGAACCGTGCAGCCTGGCCTAGGGACAGGGGCCACCTTCTGGCTTCATCTGGGGTCACAGTCCTGGACAGTGGCTCCTAGGCTGTAGAACAGCACAGACTCCTCTACCTCACCACCTCTTCCTGGCCATAAGGGTCAGCTGGGTGTGGTGGCGTGAGTGTAACCCCAGAACTCAGGAGGCTGAGGCAGAAAGATGGAAGCAAATTCAAGGCCTGCCAGGGCTACACAGTGAGTTCAAGACCACCCCTGAACTACATAGTGAGACCCTATCTCAAAAAAACAAAACACTGGCAAATGCAAGGTCCAGAGTTTGATTCCCAGTACCAAAAAACAAAACAGGGTTGGTGGCAAGCCACCCTAGTATCTGCAGAATGACTTGTGCTGCCCCTCCCCCACCCATTTCCCCATCCTCAGACCCTGCTTCGGCCGGAGACAGGGCAGTGAAGGAACTGCACCCTGGCAGGCAGCAAGCCAGTTCCCACCCAGGCAGGAGAGAGACAGAGGTCCTTCCAGGACTGGGACTAAGGAAAAGACTAAAGCAAAGAGATGAGTTATGGATACTGACAGACAGCAAATAAGGTGGATTTTGGATGGAGACTGCAGAACAAAGGAAAGGAAGGAGGCTAAAGGAGAGAATCAGGATAAACAGCTCCCCAGGGAACCAAGGGCGTCATAACCTGAGGATTTCTCCCCAGCGCACAGTCACAGCCACAGCTCGGGCAGCTGTGGGATCCCCCCCTGGGGTCGGGGGGAAGAGAGCTGCACAGCCCTAGAGAGAGACTCACCTTCCACCCCTGTGGCCTCTCCTCCCTCACACCCAGACAGGCGCAGCACCCCTAGATACGGTTTACGGATGTGGATCCTCCACTCCCCCACCCACCCCCTCCGAGGGACTGGAGGGCAGAGATGCCCCTCACCCCCGTGGCGAGTGTCCCACAGGCCTGGCTGCCCCTGCCCACCCTGATCCCATCAGTCTGTCTGGTGCTGATTGGAGAGTCAGCGATTCTGGAAGCCCCTGCCAAGTCCAGCGGAGGAGGCCTGACCTCCCCTCACTGTAATTATCTGTCTCGTAAAAAACAGGCATTGAACTTCATAAAACCAATTAAGACCTCAAGGCCAGGGCACAGGAGCAAGCAGGAGTCCAGCACCTCCGGTGACAGTGGGAGCCAACTCGAAGGACAGAGCAGTACCTGCAGCTGCCTCTTCCCAGGCCCAGCCACAGGGACCCAGAGAACAAAACTGTCGCACATGCAGAGAAAGGCTGGGTGAGAGGCAGGGAAGAGCCTGCAGGCTGCTAGGGGCAGCGAGCACTGGAGCAGTTCCTTCCCTTCATGACCAGCAGCCAGCCGAGCCTGGTTTCTCCCCCAACAGCCCTCTCTGCTTCCAGAAAACCTCAAGAGCTTCCCATCCGGTTACCAAGGCAACTGCAGCCCTGCAAGATTCACAGTGATGGAAAGAGAGAGAGAGAGGAGGCTGACAGGAGCCCCAGACAGGATGCCAGGGTGGGAGCTCACATCTGAAGGTGAACAGGCATCCAGGGGCTTCGGGCCAGAGCAAGCAGCACCCCCTCCCTATTCAGCCTGTTCCAGGCTCCGTGCTCCCGCAGGCTGTGCACCCAGTCCTGCGTGGGCGAGAACACAGCAACAAAGCACCCCTCCCCGTCAGGCTTGGACACAGGGGTGCAGCAGCAGGGAGAGCCGCTACAGCCTCACCCAGCCTGTACACCAAGGGTACTTCTGCTTTTCTTTCTCCCCTCTCTACCCCACCCACCAACCCCCTGAAGTACTTGGGACTGAAATCAGGAGCGCTCTACCACTGAGCTGCATCCCAACCCTTTTTTTTTTTTTTTTTTTTTTTTTTTTTTTCCGGTACCGGGAACCGAACTCACGACCTTGCACTTGCCAGGCAGGCGCTTTTTGCCACTGACCTAAATCCCCAGCCCCTACTAACCCTTTTTAATTTGAGACAGTCTTATTAAATTGCCCAGGCTGGTCTCGAACTTGTGATCCCCTGCCTCAGCCTCCCTGCTGGGATTACGGGGCCCAGCTATTTCTTTTTTTTTTCTTTCTTTCTTTTTTCCCCGGTACCCGGAATCAAACTCACAACCTCGCACTTGCCAGGCAGGTGCTGTGCCACTGAGCTAAATCCCCAGGCCTCTTTGTTTTTCTTTTAAGGTCATCCCGGGGTTTAACATCCTGCCCATGCTGGGGACTGAACTCAGAGTCTCCCACATGCTAGGCACTCAGGAGCAGGTTACACCCCAGCCTGCTCCTGCTTTCAAGGGGCACTGGAACTCTCTCCTTTCCCCAAAGGCTCTCTCTCATGGCTTCGGGATCACAAGCACAGGCTACAGTAGAATCAGACAGAAGTGTATTTTGTTCTTGGCTTGGTCATTTTCTAAGACTCTGTGACCTAGGAGAAAGTCACTTCTCTCTCAGTCTCAGTTTTCTTAACTGCAAATGAGGATAATATAATAAATTCCCAGGATTTAATGATACCATACATGGCATGTGTTTATATAGGGCCTGGCACTTGGTCAGTTTATTTTATTTTACTTTATATTTTGGGGGTTTTTTTGGAGACAGGGTGTTGCTATGTAGCCTGGGCTGACCTTGAACTCCAGTGATCCTCTGCCTCAGCCTCCCAAGTGTTGAGATTACAGGTGTATGCCACCATGCTTGGCTGGGTCAGTTTAAAAAAAAAAAAAATGGGCTTGTTTTGTTTGAGACAGGGTCTCACTATGTAGTTAAGGCTGGTCTTGAACTCACTATGTAGCCCAGGATGGCCTCAAACTCGTGATGATCCTCCTGCCCCAGCCTCCTGAGTGCTGAGGTTATAGGCATGTGCCACCACTCCTGGCAAAGCTACTAAAATTTTATCAACATTATTTCTATTTGATTTTTTTTTTTTTTTTTTTGAAACAGTGTCTTGCTATGCAGTCCAGGCTGGCCTTAAACTCACTACAAACCCCGGGCTGGCCTCAAACTCATGGTGATTCTTCTGTCTCAGCCTCCTAAGTGCTGGGATTATAGGAGTGCACCACCACGCCCAGCTTCTATTTGATTTTTATGATCATTAGGTGTGTACCTCTGCTTATTCATCTGAAAACAGTAAGCATTATTAGATGTAATTCAATGGCAGTGGGCAGATTATATAAGAGAAAGCATGTGAAATGCTTAGCACAGCACCAAGCCATAGATAGTACTCGAAGCAGAGAAGCCATCCCTACACCCCCTGACCCCACCAGTCCCCAGGCCCTCAGATTATATACTGGGTACATCACCAAGCTGGCCACAACTCCCAGTAAGAGCCTTGTGCAGGAGTCTTCGTGAGGCCCTGGGTTTGACCCTCAGCACACAAGGGAGGAAAGGAAGGAAAAAAGAAAACGAAACTTCTGACCTGGATGTGGGGGAGTCAGTAGTGCAGCACCAGTGAACTAATTTCCAACTTACTTCCTGGCCAGGAATGAGCCCGGCCCACCCTCACTTCTGTCTCAGGAGCCTGAGGTTCCCTGAGCAAGCCAGTGTCCTGCCGATGCTCAGGAGCCTAGAAAAAAGCACCAGTGGCCATTTAAACCAGAAAGGGTTTGTGCCTTTACAGAGGCTCAGATTTCAGGCTGCAGCAGAGGACGTGGGGAATGCACAGAGACCAGCACCTCTTCCATGGGTTAGGTCCCTGTCCTTTGTTGGCCTAGGTGAGGCCCTGTTTCAGGGGTGGCTGAACAAGAGAGACTGCTCCCAAATCCTCCCTAAAGACCCAACACTCCTCCACGCCAGTCACACTTTTCTGAGATAGTCAAAGAGGCTTTGGAATTGATCCAGTCTTCCTTATCCATGTTCTTTCCACAGCTCTGTACCTCACTACTCCAGCTGCATAACTGGGTGTCCTGGGTCTGCAGTATGCACCACACACTAAAAATGCAGCTGGAAAAGCTTAGGTGAAATCTCAGCGAAAATGGCTGGGTTGGAAGAGTTGAGAGCCAGAGGGGCTGGGGATCTAGCTCAGCATCACAAGTGCCTGCCTGGCAAGTACAAGGTCCCGAGTTCAATTCCCAGCACCAAAAAAAAAAAAAAAAAAAAAGAAAAAGAAAGAAAGAAAGTTGAGAGCCAGCTGTGGTGGCACATACCTGTAATTCCAGTATTCAGGAGGCTGAAGCAGGAGGATTGTTGTGAATTTGAGCCCAATCTGGGCTACATAGTGTATTCAAGGTCAGCCTGAACTCCATAGTGAGACCTTGTCAACAAAACAAAGTAATTTTTTTTTAAATGAAAGAGCTAGGCTGGGTGTGGTGGTGCATGCCAGTAGTAGCAGCACTTGGAAGGCAAAGGCAGGAGGATTGTTGGGGAGTTTGAGGCCAGCCTTGGTTACACGGCGAAACCCTGACTCGAAAAAAAGGGGCTGAGAGAAACAGGGGTAAAGCTACAGGCCTAAAAGGCTCTGGAATTTGCTTCTCTTCAGATTTTCCATTGGAGAAGAACCCATCCCTCCCCACTACCTCCCTAGAGAACTTCAGAATTAACGCCTCAGTAGGGCTAGGCAGCCAAGCTCACTGTTGGGGCCCTAGAGCATTTGAGGAGTGGGGGCCCCCCACCCAGGCAGCTCCTGGGGTTGTGGGGTGAGGTGGGCTCCCGAAGCCTGGACATTCCTATGGAGCCAGACTAGCAACAATGGGTGAGTCTGGAGTCGGAGGAAAGGGGCCAGATCTGAAGAGACTCCCCTAGAACAGATTCGGGCCTGTTCCCGCAACTCAGCACAGTAAAGCCTTTGTCTCAGCCCAGCCTTCCCTTTCTCCACGCCAGTCACCCTCCCCACCCCTTGGAGAGAGAGAGAACTGGGAGGCACTAAAACCCAGAAGGTCAGGCTTTCCTTTGGAGGCTGTGTAACCTGACACAGGCATCTGACCCCTCCTATCCCCATACATCAAAGCCAGTACACACCCTTTCACAGGAAAGGAAGAATTCCTGAGGGTCGGGCGGCTTTCGAGTATGGCAGGGTGGGTGATGAGAAAAACAACTGGGAGGAAAACAGGAGGGGACCTTGCGAAGCCCCCTCTGGGCCTCCCATCACTGCAGCTGCTTCCCAGAAAGCCCCCAGTAGTGGGTTCCGGTCAGGACTGGCCACATCCGTCCACCTGCTCAGAGCTCCTGGCCTCAGCCCGTCGCCGTCCACTCCCAAGTAGGTCCAGGTGAGGTCACAGATGTGGGGGAAAGTGTCCCCCTGCTCCCACTGTGCTGAAGACCCTATCAGGCAGGCCATGGTCGCAGCACCATGCCAACACGGATTAATCTGGAGATAATCCTTTTTGTTTGGTTAGTTTTTGTTTTTTAAGACAAGGTCTTGCTTTTAAGTTCATGCTGGCCTTAAGTTCACTATGTAGCTCAGGCTGGCCTCAAACAGTGATCCTCCTGCCTCAGCCTCTGGAGTGCTGGGACTTACAGGTGTACGTCATCAAGCTATTGGAGATAATTCTGAAGAAAACTGAGATACTGAGCCCCCTAAAGTAGCCAAACGAAGGTCAGCTGCTAGGGACTGAGCCCCACATAGCTTCCCCGAGGAGATCTGCCCCCGCCAAACTGTTCTCCCAAAGGCAGGGGCCAGGTTTGGTCCCGCCCAAGAAGTCTAGGGACAAATCAGAAAAGCCCGCGTTCTCTCAAGTCTCTGTCTCTGCTGTCCAGAAAAAGATTTCTTCCAGTTCTTGAATGGTGTGCCCAGCTCACTTTCAGACTGACAGATGGACAGACAAAATTTCCAATGATTTCTGAGTCAAGGCAAGCCATGAACTAGAATAGTTCCTGGGGTTACCTAGGAGCGCCCCCTGCTGTCTGGCTTGGCAGAAGCCAGTTGGTGGGGAAGGAAAGCACTAGATTCCGAACTGGCTTTGGAGGTGCAGCTTCTAATCCTGGCACTCTGGGAGGCTAAAGCAGGAGGATCGCAAGTCTGAGCCCAGCCTGGAAAACTCAGCAATTTAGCAAGACCCGGCCTCAAAAATTTTTTTATTTTTATTTTAAAGAGAGTAGTAAAAAAAAAAGAACAATAGCAAAATACCAACATCACAGACATAAACAAAACAAAGTAAGAACATTAAAAATGTAAAAGATTTCAAAACAAAATGATAGGAATTAACAGTGGTTGTTATATTACATATTGTTATCTTCAATGAAGTTGCTCAGATTGCCAGATGTAAGAATGGAACATTGTTCAAACCATAAAAGAGAATAAAAAAATTATTAAATAAAACATTAGAGACAATACAGAGTTTCACTAGACAAGATGGTAGGAATTCACCAGTGGTTGTTCTATTGCATATTGTTGTCTTCAAGTCAGTTGCTCAGATTACCAGATATAAGCATGCAAATTTGGTCAAAATATAAAACATTTTAAGCATTAACTGTTCTTTTCAATATACCATCAGACATCAGCAGTATAGTTATCCTAGCTATCCATATAGCTATATATATATATTGCCTTCCTTCTTTCTTTTTTCTGCTTTCCCTCATCCCAGTCATTCCTTCCTTTGAGCAGTTTCTTTCCCTTTCATATCATCTATTGTATGTTTTGGGTTTTATTTACTCTTTCAGGTTCCTACACCAGGGAGACAATACAATGTTTACACATCTGGGTCTGATTTATTTCACTTATGAGTATGGTCTCTAATTGCATCCATTTA